TATGCTTGTCTGCTAGGTCACTTCAGTTGTGCCGTGCACACCTTGTGCTCGACCTCTCACAAAAGCTGATCAACGTGTATGTCAATTCTTTATCCCGATGGTATGTTGAACTTATGATTGTCCTCGGACATCTTCTGTGAGTTTTGCAGTAGCAGGTCAAATTGCGACATCATTGCAAAAAGTCGTGTTTGCAGCTCATCATGTTTGGCAGTGATGGTGGCCAGGGATGGATCAACAGTGGCCGGCTTTGATGAGGATGTGACAGCAGAACCCTTCACACATTTCTTGCCCTTTAACAACTTCATCTTGGATGATGTAGTGGCCCCGAGCTCTTCAGGCGGCATGCGGAAGTGCTCGATCTCGGGCTTTGAATCCTCAATGCAAGCACGCTTGAAGGTGCAAGTAGTGATGAGGTTTATGGGAAGTGACAATGGGTTAGCATGTGCATGAGAGAGCGGAGAGCCATATACTAAAGCGATACGGTGGAATTTTCAACATAGAGCTAGTAGGGGCCAGCTCTTTCTTACCTGGCTCCTTAGACTCTTTCTTAAGCCTCGCGGTGGCAGATGCAGCCTTTTCCTCAGCCAAGACAACTGGTGTTGACCCTTGCAAAAGAAATGCTGAGGGTTGGGTGATGAAAGGAAAGCAAGAAAGGAGCTTACGAAGCTATGGAGGCATGGAGAGGCAGTCCTCATACCTGCTGATGGGAGTGTTCTGAGAAAGGCCAAGTTACCTAGCAAGAGTGGAGCCCTCACAGTTGGCCTTGCACTGCTCTTTGTCATAGGCCATCTGTAAAGAGGCTGCCTTGAGAGCCACATCCTTATCAATAGCAGATGGCAGTGGCCAACGGTGTTGATGATAGATGGCGTCGAGCCCAATCCATCCAGAATTGTCGTTCAAGTTGAAGGCAGTCATACGTGACCACCAGATGCACGCCTTGTGATCACGGTGGCATTTGTGGCACATCAACTCGAATTTGCTAAGGATACACATCCACGTCACTTTGTTGAACTCCAGGCAGTGATGGCACTAGAAGGCAACAACAGTCAGAAAAAGCAAGAAAAAGCGGTGAGCGGAACTCATCAGGCAAGCGATGGTAGGCTTGCGCCATGAAGGCATATACTCGGGTGACTTAGAATGATCGTGGAAAGTGCGGAGCAGAAGATGCATATGTGGGTCAAGGATGACCTTGGCAACATTAGCTCAGTAACTCTGTTCTTGCCTAGAAGCAGTTGCAGTGGATGGGGTAGATAAAGACTCATTGACAGAAGCCTCCTCATCAGCCAGCTCATCCTGGTCAGAGTTGTGCACAGACCCATCATTCTCAGGCTCTCCATCAGCATCAACCTCTATAGCAGTGAGGAGTGTGAGAATGAGCTGAGCATGAAGCATGAGGCAAGCAGCAGGCAAAGCCCGGATGGCCGACTGACCCTTTGTCATACCAATTGCCTCCGAGACATGTGTACTACACGAGGTGGTCAGAGCTGGCAAAGACAGTCTTGACTGAGTGAGGCATGGTCAGGAGGACAGCAGCGGCCTGGTGCACCTTCCAGAAGCACCAAGGAGTGAAGGCGGTACCGATGATTGAGGACGAACCACTCAAACGAGTGTAGCGGTAGCAGGGTATTGGTTATGGCGTTAACAGGCTACTTTTCTCTTACAAGTTTCAGATTTCAGACACGTTTCAGATATGCTTCTAGTCTCTGGAAGCAGAGCATGAACACATCCCATAGTAATGAGCAGTTCAGCAATGAGCTGGCCATCTTAGTATATAAACCTGGTCACAATTGGCGATAATGTCACAGAATGACCCAATGATGACACGTAAAACCTAATATATATAGTCAGAACCAAGTGCTAAGCCAAGCTTAGCATTACCAGCCTTTTGGTGAAGTGGTCTATCGTCATAATTGGTATTGGTTCATAGGGATTAGTTCTGGTCCCGTGACAAAATGCTAAGCTTACCTAAGGTCACTGGTTCGAACCTCTGGTCTGGCAGACTTATAGTGCAAGTCAGACACGATTATAAAGGCCATGCAAGTTAGTCACGAATAGGCTAAAGATGCTGAATCGTGCAAGTTAGTCATGGCGATGTCCCATGCAAGTTAGTCACTATAGACCCAGAAGGTTATCGCGAACCCCTGACTACAACCATAATAGGGTTCGCCAGCTATATACCCTGGTTGAGGTC